CGCTGAGCTAATCGCGGAAGCAGAACGAATCCCCATGCCATTGTCCTCCATCTACGTACTCGCTAAAGAAGATGTAGCCCAGATTAAAGAATCTTCTCGAAGAAGAAGAAGGTCCCCTAAACATGGATACCGAGGCAAGGGAAAGAAAAGAGCCTCTAGCGATGATGAAGCATTCAGTCACCGTCCCGCTCCTCCCGTCATACGCCCTTCATCCTCGAACCCAGACGAAAACCGTGTTTGCAGATACTGTAAAACCCTTGGCCATTGCCAAACCAACTGTCCCGATTATTATTGCAGGATATGCAGGGAACTCTCCCCTGGACATCTATCCTTGTATTGCCACCAATTCACTGGAAGCTCCCCCACTACGCTTACTTGGAAGGACGAAGGATTCTACCAAGAACTCTCTCATTGGGAGAAAAGTTTAGATGAAGCTTACGTCAGCCAGTGCCAGGAAGAAGAAGCCCTCCGACAGGCGGAGTACCTTACTGGGGGAGACGATCAGCTTGACTATTCTGACGACCCTATCTATTGGGCAAACCAGGACAACTCTAACCATTGTGAATACCAAGATTATGAGTAAAGTCGGTGACTTCATGCTTAGTAAGGGGGTAATGTTACAACCGCTATCTCATACAATTTACATTCTTATGATATGCCTTCCTTTCTTGAACTTGTACTTACTATCTCACGATGACTTGGTCTGTGCGCACATATGGATCTATTTAAGCACATGTATTACGCTTGTATTCTTCACTTGAATCTTACTAGGTTTTACCTGGAACATCCTTCGCTTAAGACCTCCAATCTTAAGTCGTCCTGAAACCCGATTCTTAGTCAAAGCACTCCTTTGACTAAGTCCACAGAACTCTTTCTTGTCTGAGAGACTGAGAATCTCAACGACCGAAAACTCTGTCGAGTTGTCGTTGTTAGAACTATGCTAGTTCATAACACTTGATGGATCTCCGCCCACTCAATCAGTTTCGCCAGGGTAGATGGATACTTTTGCCAAGCAAGTAGTCCTTGATCAGGTTGCAAGCGTTCAATTTGCTCAGTCAAGTCCGCTGACCACAAGTCATGTACCATGTATCCATCATTTGCTGGCAATAAGTGAGAAAAATTGCTCTGCTGTAAGTTTAGATGCACCTTCTATGGAAGACATCTTTGCGCCAGTGATAGTGTTGATTTAACAAGGATATGATGAGAGAGTATAATCGAAAGTCTGATTTGCATACAGGAGGTATTTATTCCCACCTGAAACACTTATGACGTAGGTTCTCTGTGATTACACAGACTATGTCATTTCTAATACCCACCAACCGGCTTATGAAGCAAACCTTTTCAAATTACTACAGTACTATACTCTTACGTACGTTGATCTTCGAGCAGCTCAAGGGAAGTAATCGCGTTAACAAAGAAAACATTTTCAGATAAACCAAGCTAACTTGCCTCTGAGGCAGAGCTATTAATACAAGCTATTTTGAGACTTGACTGCTCTCTGAGCGGCTCTTAAAAAACATCTGCTATACTCAATCGCCCTATCGCCCCTATGGTAATGTAAAGTATACTCCTACACCGCAATTTCCATTCCTCCGCATATCCTCTGCCCACAAACTCACCCACACCCATGAGCAATCATTAAGCACGGTATGATGTGTCATTGCACAGCTCTGTGCCACGCATTAGGTTCATCCATGATACTGCTCTAATACTCACCGAATGAGCACATCAGAAATCAATTGGATATCAGATGGATTCATGTCCAAAACCTCTCCTTCTTGCCTAAGTGATTCCTTCAGGACGATGATGTTTCCCTGGTATTCCATTTCCGATTGAAAAGCATCTAACCCGTCCGCAAGAGAGGTCAGCAGATAATTAACCTCCCGGTGGAGCCAGTATTGAACGCAGAACACGAGTCTAAATGGCAGCGGTTCCTCAGAGACAGGATGGACCTGAATAGAAGTCCGCTCGATCTTTGGGCTGATGACCGCAGTATCGAGTCCAAACTCATTGAGCCAGAGCGAAACAAACAGGTCATCTGAGGATCGTAGCTCGTTGACCCCCAGATGCAGGGGGACCTGTACCAGTCGAGGAGCAGCACAAAATGCGCCATATAATACTCCATGACGCCCGCCAGTCAACATCTGCTTCCAACTGTGATTAGCAAGGTTATTGTGTGATTGTTACGACAAGCGGTCGTGTGCGACTAGGATGATCTAAACAGCGACAACCACGACAGTGGTACCAAGTGCTGAGAGTCGTCGGCCTTTACAGACAAGCAAAGGTTGCGTACTCGAACGTAGCTCGTGGTGGTTAACGAGGGGTTACGCTGAGATGATAGCAGGGTTTACAGACAGTGAGAGGCGTCACTGAAGGTACGAGTCGATGTCGAGCAGGTAGCTTTAGCGGGACAAGGAGTTCAAGGGTAAACCTAGTTGATTAGACTAGCTTCTGGGGTGTACCTAGTAAGATTAAAGTAAGGAACGTCTACTTTAATCTTCGACCTTATATAAGGCTACTCTATCGTATCTAAGCTCAGCTCGAAGCTGGGTTCTAATCTGCTTATCTACATGAGTCAGAGATAGCGTCCATGAGGCGGGCTTCTATCGTAGATAGCGTCCATGCGGTACGCTTCCATCAGAGATAGGATCCACGTGGTATCCTTCTATCTTCTATCAGTCCATGAGGCAGCACGATGCTTGCCTTCTATCTGTACATGAGGCAGCGCGAGGCTTGCCTTCTATCGTCCTCGAGGCAGCACGAGGCATGCCTTCTATCTTGATAACATTAATAGGTCTTCTAGACCTATGTCGTCATGTCATGTCACGTGCGGTCCAGACCGCTTATCTAAGCCGGCAGTTGCCGCTTATCGTCTATCGTCATCTATCGTCATCTATCGTCATCTGTCGTCACAGAGCTAGTGAGGCTCCGGTATCGTCTATAGAGCTGGTGAGGCTCTGGTGTCGTCTATAGCCGTGCGGGTGGCAGAGGGCTCTCTGCTGGTGGGGGACTCGTGCCATGTTACTGTAACAGTGATCAAAAAGACTTACAGGATGGTTCACTATTTCTTGACGGACCAGCAAAATTTGTCCTTCAGAGACAACAGCTCTTCGGGTGACGCATGCCTTATGTCGCCGAAAAGGGCACCTCGGATTGTAACACTGGTCATTTAGGCGCCACCAGTATGGGCTTCCGACAATGTGTGAGGAGAGGTCGGTGGTACTGTTTTCGTCATCCAATAACAACCAGTTGATAATCATGGTCCAGTTTCCACGTGAAACATCTCGCCACAGTAGGGGACACAGATCTCCACATTCTCCCGGGAGTTCAGCGGTGTCGTTCAGAACCATGAATTGCTTGGCGTGAAATCTGATTGCGACGTTGTCTGAGACCACACTGCAGGAATATGCTCGCATGCTGATTTGTGCGGCAAGAAGACAAGGGTGTGCGCAGAAGATGCCACCCATGGTGACAAATATCATGTCCACAGTAAATGGACGAGCAAGAACCACTGGAAAAACGGAGTCCTCGCTACTTTCTGTCATTGTCAGGCGGGCTTGGTGGGGGCCCGGGGCGACATAAGTTCGATGTTGCGTCACAAAGTCTACCAACCATGCTTTGGTGGCAGAAGCATCTCTGTCGAGACTTAGAGCATATCCATTGTGACAGAGATAGTCGTGCAATGCAAGCCATCGGTTTCTCGGAATTACAACATTCAAATCGCTTGGCTCCCATGTACAAGGCCACAGGATCAGAGAAAGTGCTGTGGATCCTGTGATGACACCATCGTATAAAGTCAATATGTCTAAAAGACCTTGTGGGTTTTCAATTCCCAAACGGCATAAGGCCATTCTCAGGTGGCTGACATGAGAGCGCAATGCGAGGCGTCTGAACTCGGTGGAAGTACATGCCAAGGACAGCCGGGATTGAAAGTCGAGGTGACCGTCAACGTCATCAGCAATCCTTGACACAGTAAATGCTGCACAACATTTGAGAATCGAAACACTTGAATAGTGATACACTCACCTTCAAACATTGCGCGTTTGGATCTGGGATTGTCGCTCATCGTGGTTGTAAATGACATGGAAAGGGACATTCCAGTTTAGACTGAAATTGCACAGCTCTGAAACCATGAGATATCCAAGCTGCACTGCCACGTGAATCATCCGAGACATTCACCCATATGATGCAATTGATGCTGACAAGTGCACTACAAATTAGCGAGAAAAGTTCTACGCCCAGTCATACGCTTTTACTTGCCTAACTTGCACCAAGCATATGCCCCGCTAGACCAGCCATGAATTTCTCACCAATCGCCCTCCCTCCCGAGCTCACTTTCTATATCATGGACTATCTTGCTCTCCACACACTATGCGCTTGGTCCGCATGTGATAAAATCACGCATCGATGCATCAAAGCTTATATCACCAAAAAAAGAAATGGGCTCCTGACAAAGTTTTTTGGAAACATTGTTCAATTCATAGAACTTCAACGCACCTTTAACACCCTTATCACAAACTCCTGCGCCCTCAAAGTAATGTTGGCCACAAATGACGCAGCAGGGGTCAAAAGCAACAATCTCGACCTCTATACGTCCGCCCGTGGTTGTGTTGAGCTCACTTCCTTCTTGGTCAATGAAGGGTTAATAGACTCACCCTGGGTGGATAACACCAGCGCCTCTGAAATCTGCAGGACAAAATCTATGTTCCGCCCAATGAGTAATCTCATTGTCCACATTAACGAGGTAGCAAACAACAAGACCGTTATGCCCCTGTTCAAATCACATTCAACTCTGGCCATGAACTTTATCTCACATGCAGGCATATTCTCCGCCTATCCCGTCCTCACAGTGGAGTACAAGGCCCTCCTCAATCCTCTAATGTGGCATAAAAAGATTTGCCTGCTCATTTCTGTACTTGGCTTGGCCAAGTATACGTCTCGTGGGTTTGACATTCAGCCAACTGGTTACACAGAATGGGAGACCCACCTTTGCCATCTCTCTACACAATGTCCGCTGTGCCTTCGAAGCACAACTGATCGCGGCTGTCTATGTTTCGCCTTCGACGACTTTCCAGACTGTACGCGCTGGAGATTTCTCGGTTCGGAGAACTCTCATGCGATAATATGGTGCTTTGGAGGCAGCTGTTGTGAGACGGGGGGGATGCTGTGCTTCCCGTCGTCACGGCTTCTTGAGTAGAATTTGTAGAAGTCGATTGTGTCTTTCTGTGACGCTCAATGTAACATAATTTAGTTTTTTCATCTAAATTGGTCAGCCGCTTCATCTCCGTTCTCGTGTCAGCCTGTAACTCACTGTTCAGCCACCGAGATGAGAACCATCTAAGTATAGCAATGCCATCAAGTTGCAGTGCCCATGAGAGCATGACATAGATACTTTGCAATGATTTTGCGCATGACAAATCAATAACCACTTTGGGCAAAAATCCACCTTGCACCTTGAAGTCCGTGAATGCCCAGCCGGGAAGAAGAGGCAGTTGCGTCTGCCTAACAGTGAATTTTTTGCCATTTCCAATATAAGAGAAGCTAATGGCAGAAGGGAAAATAGGAATTGTCAATACATCTAGGCCCTCTATGCGGAGCGCACTACCAGGGATTTCAACAAAAGCACACGCCGCAAACCTCACACCACTCTCATCAACTTCATACTTCAGTGACTTCAATGTTCCCTTACTACCGTTTACTACTTTGTGGCTGGTCGCCGTGTTCTCAGTAATCATCACTGGCATCCCTGGAATGAGTGGCAGTCGCCCAAGCGAATCATTTGTATCCGTGGTCGTGAGTTGCCACAGCCTTTCCTGTTGATCATTTCTGATACATTTTCCAGAAACTTTGTCACGCGCATGATAAAGAACAAATCTTTGATTGGTGTTGACTGCGAATTGGCGTGTTTTAGACTCATTCAATGCATCTCTTAAAGACTTGCATGTGACAACAATAGGTGCGTCCCGAAATTTTTCATACTCTCCGGGGGAATGATCCTTCAAATGACTGAGCAGGCGAGTCTTTAAAATGTCGTAGTCAGACAACACCACACCAGGTACGGGCACTCTGTGTGCAACACCCTTTCTTACACGTTCGAGCAGTGCAACAAACATCGGATCCTCATGAGCCCGCCAATTTTTTTTAAGTTCGACCACTGTATCAATTTGACGCCATAAAAATGCGCCATACAAAGCTGTTTGTCTGCGAATTGTATGCGAAGTGGAAGGCGTCAACTCTTTGACTAACTTATAAGAGTACATCGCACTTGATTTCGGCGGACACAATTGACCAATGTCGCCGGCGTAAATCATGTTCACCCCCCCAAAAGGTCTGTCCTTGACCGAGTCGTTCCACAATTTAGCCTGTGAAATACGCTGACACACTTGGCTCAGTAATTCCGCAGACAAGAGCGAGGCCTCATCTAGAATCAAGAAGTCCATGGTTCGCCAAATCGACTCCAGCTCATGCTGCTTGATGGGTAGTTGACACTTTGGCAAGAAGGTCAGAGCATGGATAGTATATCCTTCAATTAATACAGCTGCACTTCCTGTAGGTGCATTTAGTGTTAAACGCTTGGCGGATCTGCACCTTCGAAATAATTCTACAATAGCACGTATGACATGGCTTTTTCCTGATCCTCCAATGCCTGTCATAAACATCAACAATTGTTCACCATTGTCGCGAATAAAATGCTCTCCGACTAGTCTGAATGCTCTCTCCTGATCCTCGTTATCATGAAGCGAAAACTCTGTCACTATTTCATCCAAGATGGCTTCTTTCTCAGCTGTGCTCAATGATCTAGGTACATTCCCATCGCCCTCAACTAATTCATTGGCTACTCGTTCCACAGTGACCTCTGGACTCTGCTCATTATCAGCCAACCATGCCTGTTTACAGGCAACATCAGATGTTCCCAAGTCCATCGGGCGTTTTCTCTTTCTCGCCTCATCCATGATATCTGAGTACCGTTTTAACTCTTCAGTGTCGGAATCTGTGACACACGAGACCTTTTGTTCCATTGCAACACCATCATTTGAATCATGCTGAGCAGAATCAAGCAAAGACACATCACGAGCGGCGTGCAAGCAAACTTGTATTTCTGCGGCTCGTCTATCAACGGATGTCAAGTCTACTGTTACGTCAGAACTGAGGTCTTCTACACCATCTTCGACCGGATCAAGTGAAGCATCCGCAAAAATTGCTTCATCAAACACACTAACATCCTCATTTTCAGCATCGCCGTTGTTCGCAGCAGAACCAAACATGTAGGGACGCGCACACTTTTCGTGCACCTTAGCAGCATGCATATCCCGTGCATCCTTGCACTCATTCTCTACGTTCATATTGTTAATGATACTTTGCAATTCCGGTGAGAACTCATAAGCCTCAAACGCTTCATGCCAAGTTGTGTGCTCACCCTTCAGTTCAGTGAAACTGCACCAACTCGTGAACAAAAGCAACATAGTTCGACAATAACGCTTGTACTCCTCTTCTGACCTATCATTACGAGGTATAGACGCACCTAGTAACACCGGCACAACAGCCTTTGTGCGAAGCCGCAATGAGTGTGACTGATACTGCGGATGGCCAGGCAGGAACTGACCTCTAATCGCACGCTTACAACCTCTCGAGGGAGCAGGTGTAATTTCATCTGTATCACTGTCATCATGATCTACATTCTGATGTGTGTCGTTCAGTATGCCACGCTCCTTACTGGTCGACTCCACAAATTCCCACAAAGACAAATTGGCGAATGATTCTCCAGCAGGCCGCAAGGTATAATCAGAAATCTCGCTGGTGAATTCAATGCCATCATGGTGAATATTAGCAATTAATTGTTCCTCCAAATTGACATCGGCGTCAGCATCATCGTATTCTGTATGTTTACGAGAATCGTCATCTTCAGATATCTCTGAGTCAGACAGTGCATTCAAAAACTAATAGAACTTAAGCATTTGGAACACGTGGCTAGTATAATAATCACCACCTCCAACAAGGTAACTCATGACCTGCTGATGTGAAGTCTCCTGACAACCCATCATAGAATTGATGGATTTGGTGATTAGGCTTTGGTCCTTAGTGCATTCGCGCACTTGATCATTGTGTGAATACTTGGTCTCATTTGCCTGGATGGCGTAGTTAAGTGCTTTCAAGCCGACATGTAACGGCAGATCATTTTTGGTGATATACTCACTAGTATAAAATGCCGCAGCCTTGGCAGCCTCGCCCGACCCAATGAATTGTGTGTCTGTGTTGCATTGCATAAGAAACAAAATGACATCTGTATAGTTATTCACTCTTGCACGCCATTGGCGAAGCTCAATGGATCCTGTCTCAGGATCGATAGACGTAACAGCTTGAACAGTACCATCAATGTGCATGCGGCATGTCTCATCCCCTCTGATGTCTCCATGACATAAGTTTTTGAAGCAAGTGTCATTGTGTACATGCCAATTGCACTCAACCACCAAGCGCGTCAAAAAATCATTGAAGTCACAAACAAATGAGTCGAAATCCATCTCTTTGACATGCGGGGGTCTTTGTAATCTGGGATCAGGCTCACCATCCTCTCGTGGTGGACGCTTGGCTTGATCTGCCGTTACTTCTGGATGAGGTTCGGAATCTGCAGGGAACTCACAACTAATGACATTTTCTAACCATTTGAAAACGCGATCCTGAAAACTTGCATCAGCAGACATTTGATCTCACATGGCTTGTGGACTCAGATTACCAGCTATCCAGATTAGCATATGACAATGCAAAGTACCCCGCCCTTGAGCCTCAACTGTCCCATAATATGCTTTACAATGTCCGAATATGCCAGGACCATGTTTGTACCGAAGGATCAGGTCAATAAAACTATTGATCTGGATGTCGAAGGCCACAGCTGCAACTTCTGGATGTAAGGCAACAAATTTCGCACGGTCAAACGATGACATCGCTTGCCACTCCACATAATCAAAACCACCCACAATTGGGATCATGCTGCTCGTGAGATCATGCGGATTTACAGTAACAAAGAAGGCAGGAGTGGAGAACTTTTTGATCAATGCATGGATCTCATTACGCCGACAAAGTTTATATCCTGAACTACCCTTGAGCGACTTCGCCGATACTTGTAATCATCGAAGGACTTTGAGTGCCCGCTTCTCCTCAGCATTGGATGTTTTTGGAAAGGACGTCTGAGTCCATTTTTCAGCTAGATCAGTTAGTAAAGGAGCAACAACCTGCAAATCCACAGACAACGTCCGATGAGCCGATTTACTGATGTGGAACGATGAATTCAAGCTAACTTCCCGTTTCTGTAACATATTAAAGCAAACAAATGCGAAGTTGGCATCGCCCCGGAATGGAGAATCGTCTTGACTCAAAAGGTTTTTAACCTGTACTTCCATTGAGATAAACTGCTTGTGGGAACGAGCCAGATGGTAAAATCCTCCGATTCCCCATGGGTCTAGATGAGGGAACAAAAAGGACATCAAACCAGGATCACTGTCACCAACAAATCTCGAGCCAGTACGGGACACCAGAAAGCGGTTGTGATCCAATATGGATGCCAAAGCATTCAATTTTATCGCTTGTCTACTACCCATGGAATGGTCACCCTTAGTGTAACCGACTGCTTCAAGGACAATATCTCCATCTGCTGCACAATCCGGAGTACTCACATTTCGGGATGCGTGAGACTCAGAAGAATTCGACGGTCCTGCTCCTGGTAGGTGACATATCTCGAGAGCACATAGGATGCTACTGTCATTGCTGTCATCAACAGCATCAAATAGATCGGCCATATTAGACGGACTAAAGGAAACACCACTTTGCTGATACCAAGGATTGTGAGCAATCAAAAATTCAATAAGCGTCTGGACAATACTTTTCGTGACAAGAACTGCTGCCATTGTTTTAACAGTATCTCGTGTCGGTACCTGATTGTGGCCTGTAAAAACAACACAGACAGTGTCCCGAATTTCATTGTATGTAGGCGGAAGGAAAGAGCGCAATTGAGGCGAGTCCTGAGGACGAATGGCGACATTTCCCTGGTTGTAACACTGTGAAGACTCTTCGCTCTGCCAGTAACCACCGGAATTAGGTTTATATGAGTAAAAGTGTGTCACTTGGGACGCGCGCGCACGAGAGATCAACATAAGATCGTATAAGGAAGCACTGTGAAGTGCATCACGAACAGCATCTGGCAAACACTCATGGCCATAATACTGGAAGTTAGCCAAGGAATTAATGGGTTGGTGCTGCGGTTTGCGTAATAAACATCCACAACATGTGGAGCAGAGTAGCAACGGGGCCAACGACCAACACTCAGTCATGCCTTTAGGGTACAAAAGGGCGCGGTCATAAAGCTCAAAATCATATGAACACGGCAACTAGTGCTGCCGCGGTCCGGTCCAGAACCATGGTTCGAACCGGACTTTTGGTCCGGTTCTCTGCGGTTCGGTCCATGGTTCTTGCGCCAGCTAGAACCGGACCGGAAAACGGTTCTCGGTTCTAGGTCTTCCCAAACGGTCCAGTTCTGGTTCGGCCTTCCCGAACCATTCCGAACCCTTATCAACTTCGACTTCGACAACATCTGCCTCGACATCAGACTGTCGTCTTCAGGATTCACGTTGTTGATTAATCAAGCTACATTTAGCCTTTTCGAAGGTAAGCACTAACTAATTAAACTCTCAAGTCTCTCACCAACTCACCTCTATAACAGGAGGTTCTGTTTATTGAGGACCGGCTACAACACTGCGCAAGACTACCTTTTACTGGAGGTGGATATATTAGGCGCGATCAAGGTGGATTTTGGAGGGATTGTGTCTTGCACTATGCTGCAGAGGTGCGTATTATGATTTGTACTCTGAATGCTGATGGCTCCCTCGAGGGCCAGCACTCATCACTACCAGCGCACAACCCATCACACACCATGCTACCTGCGCCTATGTTGATGCCTGCCACCTCACCACATCCCCTCTCACTCGCTTGCTGTTCTTGCCGGCTGGCTTTTGCTGGCTGGCTCGCCGTGTCTCACTCACCCACTGTCTCTCGCTCACTGTCTCACATGCCCGCTGGCTGCTCTCGCCCACTGTCTCTCACCCTCTGTCTCTCGCCCGCTGTCTCTCACCCCGCTTTCAAACCAATATTCCGCGACGACTCGACAAGAGAACAGAGGGGATCCATAGGAACGGCAAAGACATGCACGCTAATCTACTGCCCACCCCCCTTCTCCTCCAGAAGACATGCCATCGAGCTGTGATATGCCTCGCCACTCTACCCCAACGCCACCCTCTCCACCCACATCTCAAACACGTCATCAAGCACCAAAACATATCCCGGCACCATTCATCACTCGACAACCTTCCAAATATACCCCAACGATGTCGAAATGATAGATCCGCTGCAAAACTCGGTCAAAAAGCAACCAATAGTCTACAGATTGCTCAAGTCATGGTGGAGGGGTAGGAGCCGCAGCCATACTAACCCGCAAAGGCGTATACTAAAATACCATCTAGGATCCAACCGCAAGCACACCGCATACAAAGCCGAGGTCGTACATTGGGACTTGAATGAGCTTTCGCTAATATGCTCGAGTAAAAGTCGTGTCATTCACACAGCAGGGAAACTAACATTTTACCACCTTTTTCCGCCAGTGAAATCACATCTTAATGGCAGTTAACCGGCAGCTTACTTCAAATTGCTTGTCTGGATCAGACGCCGCAGGTTCACATTCCCCACGGTAAGCATTGGTTGTTATTGTGTTTTATTTCATTCTCACCATTTGTATAGATCAAATCAGTTAGCTCTTGGATCAGCGGCTACAGAGGCAGAGAGGGGTATGTAGCCATGTCATTGGAGTAGCTACTCAATGTGTAAACTAGTATTTCAATGTTTCTTTTTTCATGCTTGCCGCTGAAAATTTTCGGGTTCGGTTCGAGTTCAGACCAGAAAAAAACCGAACCGGACCACAGAGAACCGTTCTCTGTGGTCTGGTTCGGGGTTCGAAGATTTTGCAGAACCGGACCATGGTCCGGTTCTCGGTTCTCGTCCAGGACCCTCTGAACCGGACCGAACCGGACCACGGCAGCACTAACGGCAACATGTGCTCTGGTAAACATTCATTTTGCAAAAGCGAAAGCGGAAATCTGGAGACCTCAACAGGAACCAAGTCAGAGGCAAGGACATTATGTGCACATACAGCACACGCGCCTCTTTGCTGGTTAGCAGGCAACATCCGCTCTTGCCATTCGGCAATAATGCGCATCTTATCGGCCATCGTACAAACCAATGGAAACTGCAAGTCATCTTCAGCAGCGACATGAGTAACACGTGAACGACGATGCGCGGCAAGATCCTGTTCACGAGTAGCGAGACGTCGTATGTCAGGCATGGTAGCCAGGGAAGAAGCCTTGGTGCGAGCACGTGTCTGCTTGCTTGACTGGGTGAAAGGCTCAGGGAGATCTTCAGGAGCAAATCGACGCCTTGCATGAAGCAAATGCTTGAAGACAAAGTATAGTCCGCCACATTGCACAGTACACAAATGGACACGAAGTAAATCGCGAACATAATCCCGCGTATCAGAAGCCTTGACTGACACCGAATGAGAACTAGCAAGATCATCAAAATGGGCACGAGTCATCATGGAGAAATGATCGATCAAATGACATAGGGTAGGAACAGACACTAACAGAAATACTCCAGCTGGATACTGCTAAGATGCGGTGAACCACTCCCAAGATACTCCGTGATACTCGAACAAACATCAAAGCAACAAGGTGGAAACGACTGACGCCCCATCATCATCCAATTGCACATCTGAGACAACAAGAGAAGCGGGGGGCACAAGTGAGCGAGAAGAAGCGACAGCAGAAGAAGAGGACGCAGCCATAGCACAGAAGATTGTAGAAAGTGACAATCAACGAAAAGACTGAAAGAAGACGAAGGAATAAGGGGCGCGAGAAAATATAAACAAACATATCAAGACTTTGCAGCCCCTCAAAAGAAGGGGCAACCCACAGAACGGACCGCAAGCGGGCCGGTATCGATCGTGAGACAGACAAAAAAATTGTTATACAGTAGATATGCTCATAATGCATACTGTCGGGACCGTCAATAGTTTATGCATTATGAGAGATATGCAACACCACATATGTCACATTTCTGTGATGCATGTGACCTCCGCCAAAAGTGTGACATCAAGTATCTGCTGATTATACCGAGAAAAATTGTCCTAGAGAGGTCTGTCTAGCATTAAGTAGTTCTTCTCGTCGTAGTTGAGCACAAATATATGAAGTTGTGATGATAAGTTGAATGAAAATTGTGGATTACCATATTGCATGCATCCAACTTCAAGTTGCTGGCACAAATCAAGAAGATCTGTCCATGTGATTGATGCAGCCGCTGAATCGTCGTCGTCGTCATCAGAATCAAAGAGCCGAAGTTTGAGGAGTGTCCTTTGTGATGATTTTTCGCTGTTTCACAGGTCGGTTGTATACTGTGGGCTTACTATCACAGGGTTTCCGCTTCAAGTTTAGGGACATTTTTGTGTATGATGCTGTTGTAATTACTTGCTAGCTTCTAGTATACATAGTTCAAAGAAACAATACCGCACAAGCGGAACAATACATTTATGCAGTACCTTATGTTTGCCTTATGTTATGTCCCACCCTATTAATTTCGCACTTCATAATGCATACAAGCCATGCCGAGGCCATGCATTATGCAATATGCAATATGTAAACAATTACATAGGAACATCATTGGGATCCTGAAAAGTTCATGCATTATGAGATTTATGCATTGTTACGATATGCATTATGAGCATATCTACTGTACCTGTACCCTAGACGGGTCCAGGAATGTAGTATTCGAATTGTCATCCTTAGTACGACTACGGTGGATGGCCGCTGACCTGACCGATCGATCAGCGGCAGGGATAATCGATAACAAACCAGGGTGCACAAAACTCAATCTGTAGAGTAAAATTCAGTGGCCCCCAGCCCAGTGAGCACTTGTTCTGCGAACATCCGAATCTGATAGGCTAATTCCCCGCGAGTATCAGACCTCGATAGCATTCTTAGTAGGCCATTGTGTACCAGTATAGCTCGGGTACGTGTGGTATGCCACAACTACCAGACTTAAAATCATGAACACCAAGTTGGATTTCACAGGAGGGGCATTCAAACCAGCTTGTCGCATCCATGGCAAGTGTTCATATCCAGTAGGAACGTTGTTCGCGGAGAAGCACTGGTTAGCTGCTACACAGCACCAAGTTGTACTCCCGTGAGTTTCGTCTGAGCCATTCTTGTGATATGAGAAGCCATGACTCTTGTGAAGTTAATAGCATTGTAAGTACCAACACTATTACAGTAAGGATACCTGATGTTACAAGGGTCTACCAGGTAATAGTAGGTTTGATCATGATGTAGGTTTGCAGACTTCGCAAACCTACACCATGATCAAACCTACTATTACCTGTCACAGCGAATTCATTAATTTGGGCTCGGGCTTAGTGCCGTGAACAAAGTGATCATCCACCGGATGTTTTAAAAAGATTGCAGCCATGATCGCAGGTTCTGGTGGGTCAGAAGATTCGAAATGAATGCTCGTGCTCTTCAAATCAGCCTGTCGCATCCATAACAAGTGTTCATATCCAATAGAAGTGTTGTTCGCGGAGAAGCCATGACTCTTGTGGGGCTAACAGCATTGTAAGTACCAACACTATTGCAGTAAGGACACCTGATGTTACAAGGGTCTACCAGATGAACTCCGCAAACCTACACCATGATCAAACCTACTACTACCTGATACGGTGAGTTCATTCATTTGGGATCAGGCTCAGCTGCCGTGACCAAGGTGCACCGGATGTTTTTAAAAAAAATTGCAGCCAAGATCGCATGTTCTGGTGGGTCAGAAGATTCAAAATGAGTGCTCGTGCTGATATGTGGTGGCAAGTTTATGCTCATGGCTTACTTCTGTGAAACTTGCAGGGATGCTCCCAGTCCAATAAATATGAGTTCGCTCTCCACTTGCTGTAGCTCCTGACACTTCCATTCTCGAAAGATTTAACCAGTCTTCTCTTCATTGCTACCCCAGCATCATGTCACATTCAGTTGCAGAGGATCCAAAATCTAACGGCAAGTTATTACGAACTAGGATAGTTCTAACAATGACAACTCGACAGAGCTTTCAGTCGTTGAGATTCTCAGTCCCTCAGACAAGAGAGAGAGTTCGGTGGACTTAGTTAAAGGAGTGCTTTAACTAAGAATCAAGTTTCAAGACGACTTAAGATTGGAGGTCTTAAGCGAAGGATGTTCCAGGTAAAACCTAGTAAGATTTAAGTAAAGAATATAGGTGTAATACATGTGCTTAAATAGATCCATATGTGTGCACAGACCAAGTCATCGTGAGATAGTAAGTACAAGTTCAAGAAAGGAAGGCATATCAAGAGAAGTGTAAAAAGTATAAGATAGCAGCTATAAGCGGTTGTAACATTACCCCCTTACTAAGCGTGAAGTCACCGACTTTACTCATAATCCTGATATTCGCAATGGTTAGAGTCGTCCTGGTTTGCCCAATAGATAGGGTCATCAGAATACTCAAGCTGATCACCTCCTCCAGTAAGGTACTCCACCTGTCGGAGAGCTTCTTCTTCCTGGCACTGGCTGACGTACGCGTCGTCTAGACTTTTCTCCCAATGAGAGAGTTCTTGGTAGAATCCTTCATCCTTCCAAGTGAGCGTAGTGGGGGAGTTTCCAGTGAATTTGTGGCAATATAAAGATAGGTGTCCAGGGGAGAGTTCCCTGCATATTCTGCAATAATAATCGGGACAGTTGGTTTGGCGATGGCCAAGGGTTTTACAGTATCTGCAGACACGGTTTTCATCTGGGTTCGAGGACGAAGGGCGTATGACGGGGGGAGCAGGACGGTGGCTGAATGCTTCATCATCACTCGAGGCTCTCTTCTTTCCCTTGCCTCGGTATCCATGCTTAGGAGACCTTTTTCTCCTTCGAGACGATTCTTTAATCTGGGCTACATCTTCTCTAGCGAGTACGTAAACGGAGGACAATGGCATGGGGATTCGTTCTGCTTCCGCGATTAGCTCAGCGTACTCTGCAGGGGTGGTAGGTCCAAGGGCTTGTACTGGGACAAGGCAATCTACGAAGGTTGATGGGGTGAACGTAGATGGGATAGTCATTGGTGGATGGATGTGTAGCGCTTTGAGTGCTTCAGCAAGTGCGATGGTTTCCTCGGGAGGGGAACTTGATTGTTCCATGGTTATCTCTTCGTGCGTAGAAGAGAAGGCAGTATAAAGGTTTTCCGGGTGCTCTACAGTTTCTTCTGGAGCAACGACCGTATCAGACGTGGTTGCGGAAGTTGTGGAGGCTAGTTGTAAGGCAAGTTGGGTCTCTTCTTGCAGGTTAATGATCATGGCGTTGGTAATCTCCGTGAGGCTGTTAACAGCAGCCAATAGCTCGTCAGACACACGAGGAGGAGGAACGGGAATTCCACCGTCATAGGAAGGTGGTGGAGTCGCAGTCGTTCATTCAACTGGTGGTGAAGGTGGTGGGCGAGCGACTCCGGTGACTCGTTCAGCAATGATATGAATAACTTCCTGGATATCTGCCCTAACCTCCAGAGGGATAAGACGCAGAGCGTAAGCATGAATGCGTTTCTGTAAATGCATGATGCCATGTTGAACACGTGGTTCTTCCACATGTCGTACGAGTCTCTCAATGAGTTCGGCGGATCTGATGACGTTGACGAGGAGATTGATGGAGAAGGTGTTTCGGTTGATAAGGATCTTGTTGATTTCAATGGCATGTTGGGGGCAAAGGATTGCAGCTTCAATGAGGGTGAGGTCTTCGATTTCTGAGATGAAGGATTCAAATCTTCCCTTGTCGGAGGATAGGTCGATGGGGGCGAACGTGGATTCATAGGGAAGAGTGTAAGAGACTGGGAAGGACATAATGTTTATGTTGATGGGAGGATATCACAGCGAGTGTTTTCTTTTATAGATCGAAAGGGTTTCTCCGGCATTTTCCAGGTTTTCTTCCGGGATCCATTCGTTGCTAGCGGAGGAATATCCTTTCCATGATACAAGATAACGGCGACGTTTGCTGGTACCTTTGTGAGCCAGTATAGCTTCGATTTCGTATTCTTCTTCTTCTTCTAGAATGTCAGGTGGTGGTTCCAAGAAGTTCGGACCGTGAACGTCATTTTCGCTATAGGAAGATAATAGGGAAGCATGGAACGTGGGATGTATTTTCCATTGCGGAGGCAGTTGGAGTGTGAATGTGATAGGTGATAGTACGGCGGAAATGGGAAAGGGGCCATATCTTTTCGGGGCGAGTTTCTGAGATGGGAGTTTTAGACGGAGATTGGTTGCAGATAACCACACCTTATCGCCTACTTTCCATGGTTGGTACTTCTGGCCGAAGGATCTTTCCGCCATCCGTTGCATAGCGATGTTGTGACAGGCTATCGCTTCTTCTCTGATCTTTTGAAGAAGTCAGACTCGTTCCTCCACGGCTGGTACTGTTGAATCTGCCAAGACATGGGGAATTCCTTTAGGCTCATATCCCATCATGATGTAGAAGGGTGAAGCATTTCGGGCGTCATGCTTTCTATGATTGTGAACAAACTCTGTC